ACACGGCTTCGAATCCTAGAGCAGACCATGTGAATTTTTAATTAAATAACTCTATTTCCTACATTATCTTTCCTTTTCCAAGATTGGAAGATAAACCAAAAAGGTGAATAATCAATTATCAATTCCATAACGAACTGGTCATTTTGAAAGTCTTCCGGATCTGGTATATGTTTTTCTCTTCTTTCTTCTGCCATTCTTTCTTCTAAATTTCAATGTTTTTCTAGATAACGTGTTTTTAACCCTTGAAAATATGTTTCACATATTTCAAGTGGAAATCACCTCTGAAATGGTCGAATCAAGTTCCCATTCATAGTTTTTACTTTAGCTACTCTGGCCACTTTATCTTTTCCTGGATATACCCAAATTATTTTTCCTAAAGGCCAATGTCCACGTTTTTTACTGTCATTTCCTATATAAACTACATCACCAACTGTTAGGGTACTTTATTTTCTTTGACCAACGGTGATTAGTTTAGCTAAGTATTCTCTTCTGAATCGTTGTCTAATGTTGTCTCGAACTTTTTGTATAAGTCTCAAACGTTTAACTAAATATGTTCGATCAATAGCGTCCAAATCAGGCACTTCACAGCTACTCCCTATGTCATTTAGGAAGGTAGAGGGACTTAGGGAAATAAAGTTGTCTTCTTCGGAAAGGTATGTAAGAGGTCGAGCATTGACAACGGCTTCTGTGTCACACAAAATTGTCATTATCTCTTCATAATTAAATGAACCTTCCTAAATTTCTTCAATTCTAATTTTGATAAGTTAAAGTTTCTCTTACTTCTTCTACTGGTGGAACTTTGTGTCTTTTGATACTTCTTCTTATTGACCATCATTATTTGTTATTCTAAATTCACAGGTGGTTTTGTAATCGATTAATTGATTTCTATAATGTTGGACTTTTCAAATTCTTTTCTTATGGAATCGATAGTGACCGTTGAGGAAAGAATAATTCATTTATCTTCTCATCGGCTGTAAAAAGTCTTTCACTGATGTCTTTAATTGTCGTAACAGTGAACATATATTTTTCTTTTCCACAACTTCTTGTTTGAGGTACTCCTCTATCTGCTTTGCATTTTCCTTGAACAATTCTCTTAACATTTTTCTTTGTATATTTAAGTTCTTCATCTTTAACGTCCTGTCACGGTCACCAAAATGTTGATGAGGGGTAAACATGGGAACGTAATTAAAGATAAATCGCTATTTTAATAGTATATTACGTTATGACTTTTTATAAAAATTAATTAATCAGTTCTGACATTTTTACACTCTACAGAGTGATTTTGTTTCTGAATATAAAACTATTAACAAATTAACATAAAAAATAACTATTTTCTACAGCGTTATCAAAACTGGCGCCCGAGCAACCCTAGTCTTAGATAACAGCCTGGCGCCACCCACGTCTTCCACTTTCACGGAAGTGAATTAAGAAGACGTTATCACAACACTCAGCAAAGTCGCAAACCTTAGCCAAGTCGCAAACCTTATCCAAGTCGCAAACCTTAGCCAAGTCGCAAACGTTAACTGTCAGCGCCACATAGCGGAGACGATTAGTATTACGTTCAGATCTAAGTGCTTAATGAAGAAAAACAAAACCCTACTAAAAGTATATATATTCTAGATCCAGGTTTTCTGCATTACTTGATATATTATTTATTGGAAGTTCCCGAACTTTCATGTAGACTTGTTAACCTAGTCCAGATCAATATAGAAATAAAACTTTTTAAGGAGTTCAATTACTGTAAAAATAGTTGAAATTACCGTAAAATTATTTGAAACAATTGTAAAACTAATTAAATTTACTGTAAGAATGATTGAAACTACTGTAAAAGTAATTGAAATACTGCCGAAGGGCTTTAAACACCCAATTAATTTCATAAAGTGCTTCAGATACCAAATATTAAATACTCATTTTAAAAAGTAAGAAGCACAGAGCTTGAAGTTTTTTGAAACTACTTTAGATCCATCCACTTAAATATGTAGAGACGTTGAATACATATTTTCCTCCGGCAAGCTTTTTCTACTACTCAGTTTTATTTTAAAAGTTTCTTTCTAAAAGTTGCTAGGTATATTGTGTGTAAATAATTAATGATCATAGGGCAAATAATTACGTATATGAAATAGGTCATGTTGAAATGGATTTAAAGATAAGACATTTTAAGCACTATATATAAATTTCCTGGACAAAGAATGTGATATTATAGCAATTTTTTAGAACGTTGGTTCTCGTTAGTTAATGTTCCGTGTACACAAAGCAACATTTTTAGTCCTTACAAAATCTAATAAACTAATAGTACAACAACAGCGAAAAATAAAAAATATACCTGGCAGGTATTTATATTTCTTGATGAAGGATCAGATACGAGATTTAAAAGTGTCACAATACAAGGCTAACCAAGATTACATTCATTTTATTTTAAATTTATCCATATCTTCAATCTTATGGGACCGGTATATGACTTACAGTAGCTTTGTTATTGATAAAAGAATAGATAACTGGACCGTCAGCTATTGTTTTCAATACGTTGCTACCTAGTAGCATATCTGCAATTTTAGGTAGCCAGAGGGTATAGTACCGGTGTCGTCAAAGACGTACCAAACGGGGGTTGTTAGAGGTGTTACAAAACTAACTAAAAAACTAAACAATTTCCTAGTATCTTAACTAATTAATTACAAATAAATACAGGACATTCCCGAACTTAAATGTTAATAATTCGGAGATTCTGTTCATATGGGTTGTAAATAATACCCCATTATTAAATTATGGTTCATAAAGTTATATCGCTGGTTCTCCAGAATAATGACACATTTCAAAAAATTTAATTTTTCAGAACAATTTTAATTTTTTTTTTTCAGAATATTTTAGAACAACTTTGAGAAACTTTTACCTACAAGTGTACTAAATTTGGCTTTAACAAAGTGTTTTATTCCTTATTTAAATAGATGATAGCCATAGGTGTTTTGTAATTTTAAAAATTTTGAAATTTTGAAAAATTTGTATGGAATATGTCATTATTACCAAACAAATATAAGATGATTCGCTATTTCAAAGAAAAGTATGCTAAAATGTGGTTTATGATTTAAAACAACAGGTACTAAAATAAAATTTAAATGCATTTTTAACCGACTTCAAAAAAGGAGGAGGTTCTCAATTCGTCGCAATATTTTTTTTTTTATGTATGTTCAGCGATAATTCTTTAACACGGTGTCCGATTTCAATGATTCTTTTTTTGTTAGAAAGTGGGTACCTCAGGGGTGGTCCCATATAAATTTGGCACGTTTTTGAAGTCGGTTTTTTAAATTTTTAATTTCTAATACTTGTAAAAATAGAACCTTTATTAATAACGAGGCCTATTAACTACTCTACTGTTAAGAATACAATCCTGAATGATTATAACAGAAACACAAGTTACAAATTTGAATAAAAACCTTCATAAAATTTGGGAATAATGTTTTTTTTTACAAAATCGAGTAATCCACTTTTCTTTTTCTCGGAAATCGACAGTTTTTGCTTACAAGCTTTTTTTAGGGTCACATTGATATTTGAATTTGAAAATAATTTTATGTTTTTGCTACTTCTTGTAGGCATTTTCACTATTTCAACTTTTTGAAAATCTTCATCTTTATAGGAGGTTTTATAGAAAAATGCACCAGGTGAGCTACTTCGAACTTGTAGAATTTTAGCTTCAGTTAATTTAAAATTTTCATTTTCTGCGTTTTTTGAAAAATTATTTCCCGTTTCAGAAGCCAGCGATTTTAGATCATAAAACGATTCAAAAGTTAGTTCGTGTACTTTGTAGGGTTTATTGATTTTAGCAATTCTAATTAGGTTAACATACTGATCTGGTGTAAATATAGAGCCAGATTTTAGTGATCTTTTTATACGTCTTTCTATTATGAAGTGGGCGCTATCGCCTTCGTTTTCGTATGCCCTTTTATTAAAAATTTGTGAGTAATAGAATTTAAAAAGTTGAGTTTAGAAATCGAGTATAAATACAAAGCAATCATGTAATGATTTTTCTGTTGCCCGCAACAGTTATCGGAATATAATATCACGTCTATTTTTATACCATTTTGTACTTTTTCCTGAAGGCTTTCTAGGTATTTGAATACACAGGAACCAATCTCATTGATACCGCGCATTCCTTGACCTTTATGCCAGACGAAACACTGTACATCGTTTGATTTTATGTCATATAGAGTAAAATTGAGAGTATTTAATTTAGATACATAATAGAAGTTTGATATTTCTCCCAGAGGACAAGGCAAGATCCCTTGTAAATTATACAGGGCAACAACGCAGGTATCATCGGTATTATTCTTATCGTACTTTCTCTTCTCGTGACAATTTTTTCTCTTTTTGGTGTTCTTCATATTTTTGTTTAAGTGTGGCCTTTTCTTCTTCGGATGCATTGAAATAGGCAGTGCAATCCTCGCACTGGTCTTTTTTGGGATGAAAGAAGTTGATGTTATATTCAGAAGTAAAAATTCGATGATATAAAACGTAGTTGCTATATGAAACGTTTCTTGCTTTACAATCAGCAACATAATCTCTGTGTAGATAGGCAACACTTTTTCCGCCATCAATATAATCCTTGGTGGTGTCCGCCCTACAATAATGCCTTTCAATTTTAGGTATTTTGATCTAATCGAAGTATTTCTCAAGGGGAATCTCTTCTTTTATATAAAATAGTTCTTATTGGACGATCAGTGATACCTGAAGTTGATCTAAAAAAAGGTTTGCATACTCGGATTCTTATCTCTTCAACCACAAAATAAAATGCATTTTTTCTTGACCAATCAGGGGCATGTCTGTACTGGTATTTAGGTTCAACTGTTAACATATTGGATGAAAGAAACTCACGTTGTCTTTGCAGATCTCCTAGCTTCCAGTAAGCTGTGAAAATGCCCATTCGCTGATCGTGAGTAATCTTTGAAAAGCATTTCTGTTTGCACTTTTCAGTGCAAGGAGGACCCATTTTTCTTTCAGGAATCATAGATTTATTTTTTTTTTTTTTTGAGTTTGATAAGTAAGCTAACCCAGAGGTTCAAACGCTTTGCTTTTTCCTTAATTGAACTCAAAGGATCGGCTTTCGTTTTTCGCCCTCTTTTTTTAATTTCTGTTTCATTTGGTGGTATATTGCCAACTTGTTCTTCATTTTCTTCATTTGAATTGGATGATGATGTTGATGATTCAGACGAAGTATTCGAAGAAGATGATGATGATGGACTCTGTGTACAGAGGAAATCTTTTACACTATCAAAAGAAGAGAAATCAGTGTTTGCCTCATCTTCAGTCTCCTTGGGCAATTCGTTTTCATGCTGACCCATTTTACTGTTCATTACTACAACAAAAACGTTATTTGCTATCACTGCTACAATCTACATAAATCAACAACAATGTAGAAAATGCATTTACCTTTCATCAAAATGACATTGTTATCCTCAATACTTGTGTTGGGTGGAATAATTCTATAACATAAATCTGCTTTATCAGTTTGCTTATAGTTGGATAGGTCTGTTGATAGAATTACTCTATGTAAACAAGTATTGGGTACACATTTTTTGACTTACCTTCAAATGAAAGACTAACGATATGGCTACTTTCAGGAATTATGTCCGCCTCAAAAGGTTCCTCAGTAATAGGATATTCTACCTCTAAAAAATATTTATAATGTTCAATATTTTATGTTTGTTTGCTACTAGCAGCGATTGTTCTTTAATCTTTTTTATAGATTTTGCTTTCTTTGCATTAGATAATTAGTATATACCTTTAACTTTATTGGTATCATTTTCAGGAACTTCACTGTTAATTACTGTAGTGGTCTGAATATTTTTAGAACCACTTGGTTTTTCTATAGCTACAAGATAATAAATAAAATTGTTAAATAAACGGTCCCTACATAAATATTAAAAAATCATACCATAGGTTTCCCTAGCCAATTTTTTCAACATCAATTTAGCGCTAGAATGTTCCATCTTTGCCTAAAAAATAAAATTTATAAAAGAAAAGGAAAATTTATCATTATTAAATTTAATTCAAGTATACGCATCAACGAGTAATTTTTTAAAACGAACAAAGATTTTAGAAAGACTAACGACATGTTTTGATTAGAATTTTTTAAAAATTACAAAAACATAATTTTTTTTTCAAGAAGAATGACACATTTCAAAATATGATCGTAAATAGTTTCATATTTTTAAGGAATAGTGACATCATTACACAAAGGTCGTTAATTCTCATATTAAATAGATAACATAATTTTTGTAACAAGAATAATGACACATTTTATAATATGACATTCTTCTAGTAAATTTAATAATAAAAATATACTTACTTTAGCAAAAAAGTGTCACTTTTTATTTTGTGTCACTATTTCTAATATTTATGCTAAGAATTCACCAAAAAACTTTTTATTTCACTAAAATGTGTCGCTGTTCCCGAGAAAAGAGTAACTTCTTCCTAGAACTAAATCACTCGACTGAAAACGTGACAATATTCACGATAGAACTCATGCAAATCCGTTTATAAAGAATAATGACATTATCGCCATCTATCAGGCGGACTTTGAAACAACGTTATAAGACCTTGTTCCTGATAAAATATATGTATTTTTATTATAAATTTTTGAATAATCCCTAAATCGGTATTTTCGAAAATGTGTCACTATTCTGGAGAACCAGCGATATACTTGTATACAAAGTAGTAGATGCCGAGGACCAAAATAATGAATAGTTGTTAGTTATTTTCAAGTAAATGTTTAAATTTTGAAAATTTTATAAGAACTTTGATCCTTTATCATATGGCAACTTGTATCCTAAGTTTCAAATTGTACTGAAATTAAAAAACATTATTTTTAAAAATTTGACGAAATCCTCCAGTCACTTTTTTAATTGGGGATTTACTAAATACCCTTTAATAAGTAGGTGGTGTATAAATTTGTTAGCATTAAAAAATGTCTATTAGTTATTTTCTTTCTAGATTGTTGATTTTATATCCTTCATGTTTTTTATCCTTATTATTTTATCCCATTACTGACCTTGTCTTCATTATTATTTTACATTGATCTGAACATACATTTATCTCTCTTCCATAATACTCCAAAATAATTTCCAATTTATCAATAAAATCAACAATGTGTGTATTTAATATTATATTACAAAATGCATACTATTATTTTAGGTTAATTGGAACGGAGATCCATGGTTACAGCTACTTTTGTTTCGACAGCTTTAATGGCAACACAAAGTTCCCACCTACTAGAACAGAAGTAAAATGTATGCCGACCAAAAATATCCCCACATGCAGTATTAGCAAAGGGCCTTTGAAATGGTCAGAAATTGGCAATTTATTACATGTACCTATTTTTTATAGTCACGCTAGTGCTATTAAAGGATTGTAGAGTTATTTAAACGAAGAAAAAAATTTTAATTACTAAAACCCAGAATTTTAAATCAGGAAAAATGTATTTGGGGATATCAGGTCGGTTTTGGATATTAGAGAGGAATCAATCTCAAGAAAAGTTCATTTATCCTGCAGAACATCCAGTAGCTTCAGTAGGATTTGCTATAAATTTATTAGAATGTTTTCTTGATACTGTAATTGACAAAGAGTTAGCTAACCTTAAAATTAGATTTTTCATAGGTAAAATGTAATATTTATTCAAACATTGTAGGGTAATCTATAATTAAGGGAGTATGGAAAGTAGGTATATCCTGGTGGTGTAAAAAAATAGGTAAAGGATATGGAGGACAAAAAAAATATCAGCAGAAAATGTATACATCTTTTAATACTGTTTATTATTAATAATTAATTATTATAGCGAATCAAATAGATTTTTTAGTCACGTGACCATAGAGCAAAATGCTTGGATGAAATAAAAATTGGTTTCGTATAAGAGACGACTAATTGGAGAAGGTCCACCTAGTCGCCAAATTAGGAGACTAGAAACACTTTCACAAAACTGGGGATATAACAGAATGCACACACAAGATACATAAACAGACGATATAACAGGGGCAAGCCTTTATCAACGTTCTGTTCAAATGAAAATACTATGTTATCCTTTATGTACTTTTAGAAAGCATGGCATACAAATCTATTGATCTTGATCTTGAAGGCCCTGCAGAAGAGTTAGCAGGGGGAGGTCGGAATGGGTTTAGCAGATTTCGATCCAGTTTACAGGATGGGAACTTAATCGACAGAGGCGTCATACATCTGTGTGAGTGTTGTTTGCTTCGTTTCCATGATTTCTATTAAAATAAACTAACATCACCTATACTCTATATAAAATATTTGTTACATTTTTTTAAGTATGTTATCTTTTTATTTTTCTGGGTTTTAAAAAACTTTTAAATTAAATAATAACTGTGACTTCATTTCTTTTTCTTTGTAATTTGTCACCATATAGCAGATTTGACAGAGGAAGAAGCATTTGTTGTTTGTTTTTCTGTACCTGTAGAAAATAATTTATAGAAAAAGAGTTTGGTGTAATATTTTTCCAAGTTTAAATATTAATAATCACTAAAATAATCAATTAATAATTGATTTTAGGAAATTTTAAAAAATGTTTTAGTTTATTTTAAATGACACAAATTCTGTACCAAAGAATTCTTATAATGTTAACTTTTATGAAACAACAATGTTTAATTAAAAGGAAAAAAAATTGTTTAATAAAACTACTAAAGAAGGTACTGATCAGTGCCGAAAGCTACAACCAAACACACAGGAGTTTTATTTGGTCTACAAGCACCTTAAAACACAAGAACTACAAGAAAAAACTATAATTTATTTGAATTTTTAAATTAAATAAATTTTGAAAATTAAAAGATTTTTTGATTTGTGGCAAATTAAATTCATTAATAAGACCCCTCAGCTGTTGAGTATTTCTCGATCTAATATCGCAACATGAAGACGAAACGGGATAAAACCATCCTTATAGAAGGAAATAAATAAAAGTAATTAAAAAAAAACTGACTACAAAAAAAAATTTCATAGATCCCATCAACAGATTCTAATCTTGTCTAATTTTGGAAATCAGACAACGTGGTAAAGAATTATCACTGAATCTGTATATAAAAAAATATTCCAACGAATTGAGAACTTCTCCCTTTTTTTAAACTCTCTTAAAAAATTACAAATGGGTAAATCACTAAATTCACAACTCATAATTGACTAATGCTTTCTGGTAATTGATTCTACAATACTTTTTATTTAATAATGCAACCCCTCAAAATGATCTTGTTTGTACGACATTGCATGTTTTATAGCTAAATATAATAGTTTTCCATTTATCCAACGTTCTGGGCATTTTATTCTAGAATTATTGCTGTACATGCCTTTTTATTATTTCAATAACACTTCCTAGTCGCTAAGAATTGAGCCTAGTTTTCTACGGTAAGTAGGGTCTTTTATTTGTGTTCGTGATAGTTTTATGTTGCTAGTTATTGTTGAGAAAGAAATAAAAAAATACTTTTACTGTATAGCTAGTTAAAACTGTGTACAGTGTTGCTTTTTACAAAATACAGAGATTAGAAAGAATGTACATAAATTTAACTATTTTTTAAAATTCATATAATATTCTGTTACAATAGTTGTTTTTATTTTAATGATAGTGTTAAATCTGTAATTAATTATACTTTATCTTGATTTTTTGGGTAGTATTTTGATACATACTGGGCACAGAATAGTTCTTCTTTTAGACCTGATGATGGCCTTTGGGCCGAAACCGCTAACCATGTGATTACTTAATAAATTTTGAGTGGTACAAATTTTGTGATAATTTTCTCAATTTACAAAATATTATAAATAAATCCAGGGCTGCCCAGAGCCAGGTCGGGCCCCAAGACAATTTTCCAGGTCGGGCCCCCGCGACAATTTTATAAAAACATTAAATCCTTTCAAGATCGCATTTATAAAAAAAGGTCTTCAAGAAGCAAAAACTTCTCCTTTGTCCTTCTCTTTAATGAAATCTCTAAACCGATTAATAAAATCTCAAAAAAAAGGTCCTCCCTCTTCTGCTCTTGTGGCGAACTTCTAAAAAAAATAAAAAAAAAAACGTCCTCACCTAAAGCTGCCGGGCCCCTACTTGAGCCCGGGCCCCCGGAATTAGTCCAAGCTACCCCTCCCTCTCGTCGGCCCTGAATAAATCGGTCATATGAAAAACAGTACAAGTCCCAAATTGTGCTTTTCAGGACAACAATAAAAACTGTATAGTTTTTAAAACTATGACAGAATTTTACTTGCACAGGGACTCAACGATTGAGTGCCAACTGAGCGCGTCTCCAGGTGGTGGATAGGTGAACGGCCAGGTTTTCCTTGCTTAGTGGTAGACATAAGTAGAGTAAGAGAGCCTAAAAACTTTGCAACAAAGGTGAAGTACCTAGGTCTCACTTATGAAAGAAAGTTAACATGGAAATCGCATTTAGAAACAGAGTCAAAAAAGCATACATTGCTTATAAACAATGCCGCTGAACCGTGAAGGGCACTTGGGGTTATCAAAAACTCAAAAATTGAAGGTAAAATAGAAAAAATCCAAAGGAGAGTATGTTTCAACATAACAGGAGCCATGAAAACAACACCGACCAGAGCCATGGAAGTAATTCTTAGTCTCTTTCTCCATGATATTTACACCAAGGAGGTTGCTCGGTAGACAAACCATATAAAGTTATAACAGAACAAATAAAAGAGCCGGCAGAGGCAGGTATAATTCAAATCTAAACCGACGGTTCTAAAACAAAACAAGGCTAAGGATGTAAAAAAATACTCCAGATCCTTAAACCTAAACATAAAATAAACTGTGAGCAATAGTGCCAGTGTAGTTCAACCATGGGCGAAGTTAGGGGGGGACTTGGGGGGGCTAAGCCCCCCAAAAACCAAATTAGCCCCCCAAAAATTATTCGAACATTTATCGCATATCCACCCATACATTTCAGATTTCAGAACAGAAATTAAAAAATGAAAAGAATCGTGCCATTTGATTGAT